ACATCACATATGTTCAAAAACTGGGAAATTTTTTTTCCTCACAATGAAGTGCATTATCTCCTTTCCAATAAACAAATTTCTTAATTGTATTACTGGACAGTCCTATTTTTGTTCAAGGCCACAAGGAAGAAGAAATACCTCATCTGAGAGGATTTTCTAATCCTCTTGGGTCTTGCCAAAACAAGGAAGAGGAAATAAAAAGAAATGTGCAAGAGGTTGACTAGTAATCAATGAAAAACTGAAACTGCCAGGCTGGAATTTAAGAGGTACTGAATGTTTTGTTTCTCAACCTTTCACAACTCTGTCAACTTTTTGTAAAATTGAAAAAAATCTCACCTCCTCTCAAGTGATTTTTAAGAACCTTCCCCTGTTCTCTACTTCAGGATCATCCTTCCAAAGCAAGAGTCCTCTCTGCTTCCCACTATTACTTTTTTATAGTTTATTTTATTGAAAGTTACAGGATTTCCTCAATCTTACAAATTAAAAAGCTTTATAATACTTACAATGTTCCACCCTGAAAATTTAAATAAGTATGTCTACTACTAAAAAAGGAATGTACTCTTACAAGTGACTAACTTTCTAGACAAACAAACCCAGGACACATACTTGATAAATTATCTTCATACTAAATCCTATCAAAATAGAACATATCTCCATTCACTTTGTCTAATGTATAAGTCATGAGAATCAGAGTAGTAAGATTAAGGACTGACCATTCTGAGAGCCAAAATAAACTATGTTCTATGAATATCTGTGGTTTTTTTTAAAAAAATTATTTTATTAATTTTAATGAATGTTTACAGAGATTTTGGATTTCCATTCATTCATCGTTGCATTTTTCTCCCTGCCCATCCCTCCTGCCCCCAGTTCCTGCTTCTCTTTGAAAAGTAAAAGAAAAATTTTTTCACTGGTTTCAATCTCCCCCCACCCCATTATACTCCACTATGCAACCTTCATTCAGGACTCTTGTCATAACCATAATACCCAATCATATATCACTTTTAAACTGTTCTCTCCCTCATCTGTTTCAATGCAGTTACCTGTGTTTTAAAAAAATGGTTACATCGCTAAATTATAAACTCTTAATAATTTAGCCAGCTACTCGTCTAGATAAAAACCATTTCTTGAACAAATCATCAATACACGAACATAAACAAGCATCAACCACTACCAGTTTAATGTTTCTTAAATGTTAACTTCAGTAGTTGTTCTCTGAAGCAGAGAACATCCGCAGAATAAAAGGTAACATGAAAATGTGACTGTTCTAATTCAGCAATGTATGCACTTTCCAAGACAAAGACAACTTTAGGAGTGAGAATATTTCAAAAACTGGAAATACACATAGAGAATAATATTTAGGCAATAATATATTGCCTCCTTAGCTTCTTACAAGTACATAGAAGTTGTGCAGAGGTGAGAATACACTTCTATTGTTGCCCCTTTTTAAACTATGTAATAATTTTGCTTGCTATGGCAAGAAGTTCTGCCGCAATTCCGAAGGCACACAATTTGAGGCCACCAGCTGCTCCATGGGAGAAGAATGGGCAATCTCCCATGTGATTAACTGCCTCTAAAAACACACCAGAGGGTCAGCTATGGGTCACTTCTGACACAACAACAATATTTCATAAATGTACTGAATCTTACTTACTTTTCATAAGGTAACAAAGAGTTTTAACTCTAGGTAGACGACTACCTAATTAAACACCCACTAGGAACATTCTTTCCTCTCAACTTTTTGGCAGTAATATTGCTTATTTAGAATTACACTGCTTTAACTTCTTGTTGTTATGCACCATTGAGTCGGAACCGACTGATAGGTGACCCTCCAACAGGTGTGCAGAGGCTATAAATCACACAGGAGGAAAACTGCTTATCTTTCTCCCAAGGAACAGTTGGTAGATTTGAAATGTGTGCCTCTGGCTTGGCAACGCAACTCCTTACCCACTTGGCCATCAGAGCTCCTGTAAACAGGGTGGAAAGTCAAATTCCCAAGGAGGAGATGAACCAGAATTAAACAGTTAGAAGGCCTTCATTAAAAACAATTATTTAGTACATCACTGAACACTAACTGAATAGCTACCACTGTCTTCCACCAAACATTGAGGTTTATATACTCATATCAATGTACATTCACAGCTTCATTTAAAATAGCTGTGGAAATTTAATAAAGCAATAAAGATCTAATTTTAAGATTTACCTTTTTTAAAAGAGAGGGATACAAGAAGGGGAGAAAAAAAGAGAAGGAGTTGGGGCGCCACACCAAGAAAACTCTAAATATGTTAGAGAAAAATCTAGCCACTTCCGTACTAACATTCGAAGTCCCCACCTTAACATTTCATATTAACAGGTTTTCCTTGTATGAGAATGGATAGTATCCTATCACAACATTGGACTCAAGGACAGATCTTGAAATGATCGTTTTAACTATGAACAAAACCATTCTTCCTCAGATTTTCATTTCATCTGATTCAAAGTGGCCCATGCCAATCCATCTCAGTTACCTGGTAACTATATGATTATTCAAATATATGCACCAACATCCAAATCAGTCATACAAACATTGAATCAAGATTCATTAATAATTACTGGTGACTGGATGCAAAACAATGAGGAAGAAATGATAGTTGCGAACTATGGATGTGTTGACAGAAACAGGGCTGAAAACAGAATGATGGGATTTTGTGTGTTTAAGGAATTATTCATCATAAATACCATTTTTAAAAAAGAAACAGAGGTATCTCTGGTGACCTAGTGGGGCAAGAAATTGTGCTGCAATCCCAAAGGTGCACTGTTTGAATCCACCAGGTGCTCCGCTGGAGAAGGAGGGGCAATCTCCTCCGGGGGGAGGTAGGAACAACATAAACAGAGACTTTACACATGGATCTCACTCATGGATGGACCTCAAAGGAATCAGGCTGACTATATCTGTGAAAAGAATCATTGGGAAAGCACAGTATCCGCAATCAAAATCAGACCAGGTGTTGATTATGCAACAGACCATAAATTACTCATGTGCAAGTTCAAATTGAAGCTGTAGAAAATTAAAACTAGTTCACTGGAGCTAAAATAGGACGTTGGGTCTATTACAGGAGAATTTTAGAAAATATTTGAGGCACTGAACATCAAAGACCAAAGACCAGAGGAACTGTGGGAGGACATAAAAGATATTATCCATGAAGGTGGAAGAAGATCATTATAAGGACAGAAAGAAAAAATAAAAATGTCAGAAGAGACTTTAAAAACTGAATTAGAGCATCAGAGAGACAAAACAAAAATATGCTTAAGTAAAAGAGCTGAACAGAAGACTCAACGGATAGCTCAAAAGACAAAACAAAGTATTAGAATGAACTGTACAAGCAGCAGGAGTCAGAGAATAAAAAAGTGAAAAACTTACTCTGTATTTCTCCAGTTAAAGGAACTGAAAACAAATTCAAGCCTCAAGCTGAAACACTGGGAGATGCTATGGACAAAATGATGAATGATCCAAGAAGCATCAAAAGAAGGTAGAAGGAAGAAATTACACAGTCACAGTACCAAAAAGAATTAGTTGGCACTGAAAAAATATAAGAAGTACGAAATGAACAAGAGCCAATGATAATGAAGGAAGATGTTCAAGCTGCATTTGAAGGCACTGGTGAAAAAATAAGGTCCCAAGAATCAATGGGATACCACCTGACATGTTTCAATTAACAGATTTAGCCCTGGATGTGTTTATCTATCTGTTCTAGGAAATTTGAAAGCCAGCTACTTGATCAACTGAATGGAGGAGATTCATATTTGTTCCTATTCCCAAGAAAAGTGATCTAACAGAATGTGGAAACTATAGAACAATATCATGAATATCATAAAGAGCCAAAATATTGCTGAAGATCATCTAAAAACAGCTAAAAAGTACACTAAAAGGGAACTGCCAGAAGCTCAAGTGGGGTTTAGAAGAGGCCATGACACCAGGATATCACTGCAGATGTCAGATGGATCCTGGCTGAAAGCAAAGAATACCAGAAGAATGTCTATTTGTGTTTAATGATCATGCAAAGGCATTTGACTGTGGGGATCATAACAAACCATGGCTAACATTGAGAAGAATGAGAGTCCCAGAATACTTAACTGTGCTCATAAGACTTAGCTGTGCTCATAAGCAATCTATACCTTGATCATAAGCCATTGTCCGAACAGAGCAAGGAAACATTAACATTGCATATTTTGAATCAGAAAGAGTGTGCATCAGGGATGTAACTTTTCTCCATATATAATAATTCAATTTGTATGCCTGCAAATAATTCATGAAGATGACTCTAAGAAACGGAATACGGTATCAGGACAGGATGAAGATTCATTAATAACCTGATTTATGCAGATGACACAACCTTGTTTGCTCAAAGTGAGGAGGACATGAAACATGTGCTGTAGATCAAGAACTACAGCCTTTGGTATGGATTACATCTCAACATAAAGAAAACAAAAGTTCTCACCATAGGACCAATAGTTAACAGCATGATAAATGGAGAAAGGATTGAAGCTATCTATTATTTCATCTTGGTTGGATCAAAAATTAACATCTTTAGGGGGAGCTCTGGTGGCCTAGTGGCAAGGAACTGCAACTACAATCCCAGAGGCGCACGCTTCGAACCCACCAGATGCTCTGCTGGGGAAGGAGGGACAATCTCCTCCTGTACCAGTCAGATCTGATTTGACGGTACACGCGCATACACACACACACACAAAAACACACACAAAATAATAAAAAAAAATTAACATCTTTAATACCAGCAGTCAGGAAATCAGGAGACTTATTACACTGGACAAATCTGCTATCAGAGATCTCTCCAAAATAATTAAGAACAGTATCAGTTTGAAGACTAAGATGCACCTAATTCAGGTCATGGTCTTCTCCTTCACCTGCTATGCATCAGAGAGCTGGACAATGAATAAGAATGACAAAATAATAGATTTCTTTGAGTTGTGGGGCTGGAGAAGGGTACTAAATAGCCCATGGAATGCCAAAAGAACAAACAGTCCTTCATCCCTCTCCAGAAGAGAAGAGGAAACACAAGAAGAAGCGCCTGGTGCAGAGCCCGAATTCCTACTTCATGGATGTGAAATGTCCAGGATGCTACAAAATCACCACGGTCTTCAGCCATGCACAAACAGTAGTTTTATGTGTTGGCTGCTCCACTGTTCTCTGTCAGCCTACAGGAGGAAAAGCAAGGCTTACAGAAGGATGCTCTTTCAGACAGAAGCAGCATTAAGAAAAAAATCAAGATGAAATTATCTCAATAAACAGAATTTTGGATATAAAAAAAAAAAAGAACAAACAGATCTGTCTTGGAGAAAGTGCAGCCAGAGTGCTCCTTGAAGGCAAAGATGGTGAAGCTTCATACCTCGCATTTTGGACATGTCACTAGGCGAGGCTTTTCCTTTAAAAAGGAAATCATGCTTGGAAAAACAGAGACTCAGCAAAGGACAGAAAGACCTCCACCAAGATGGACAGACCTGGTGACTGCAATAATGGGCTCAAGTGTGTTAGAGATGTAGGATTGCACAGGATAAGGCAGGGTTCAGAACTGTTGTTCATTCTGTTACTATGAGTCGTACTCAACTCAAGAGCACCTAACAAAAACACCTAGACAGTTCAATGGAAAGAAGATAAAGACTCTCTCAGTCTTTTGTTTTACTTTTATGCTATCAAAACCACACCATGGATTTATGAGTCATGACAAATACATCTATTTAATTAATGATTTTGGATCCTCAAAATAGAAATTGCCTTATAAATGTCTGGATTTCACTTTTTGTGTCTACAAAGTAATCAGAACATGGTCCTCAATTTTACCTGCATATCAGAATCACCTGGGGAATTTTGTTGTTTTATTTTTTTTTAAAGACCAGCATCCAGGTCATCCTCCAGATCAAATAAATTTTAATGTCTGGGGATGAGATCTCACCTGAATTATTTTTGTTTGATTGTTTATTTTTGAAGCTACCCAGATGTTTCCCATGTGCAGTCAAGGCTGAGAACCACTGAACCAGATAATCTCTACAGTCAATTTAGTCCCAGAATTCCAGATTTATGTCAACATGCTTCCACTGAAGTAGATAATTTTAATGCTAGGCTTTTATGTAATTAAATTAGCTTATCAGACAAAGTATTACTGAGAAACTATCATGTTGTTGTTATGTGCTGTTGAGTCGTTTCCGACTCATAGCAGCCCACGGCCTCTGACACACCCATCCCGATTACCCCAGTCACCGAATCAATCCATCTCATAGAGGGTCTTCCCCTCCTGCATTGTCCCTCCACCCTCCCAAGCATGATGTCCCTCTCCAAGGATCCGTCCCTCCTGGCAACATGTCCAAAGTATGTCAG